CTTTCTTAGACAGTCTCTGTCATCCAAGCTCACTGCAACCTCTGCCTCCCACACTCCCAGGTTCAAGGTGCCTCAGCCTCCTGAGTAGCTGGGATTACAGGCATGTGCCATCACATCTGGCTAATTTTTGTATTTTTAGTAGAGACAGGGTTTCACCATGTTGGTCAGGCTGCTCTCGAACTCCTGACCTCAGGTGATCTGCCTGCCTTGGACTTCCAAAGTGCTGGGACTACAGGTGTGGGCCACCACGCCTAGCCTACTCCTCCTTTTCATCTGAGCTAGAAATGGACTATTTGTAGCTCTTTTAATCTTTTAGGATACAAACAGTCAAGCTTATCATTTTGCTTGCTTACTCTTTCTAATAAGTGTATGTTAAGGGTAAACTTTCCTAAACAACGGTGTTTACAAATGTTACTTGTTCTCTCAATGCAGTTATGAGTTAGGGGAATCCTGGCATACTTTGCTTAAGATCAGTGTTCATAAACTACTACTGACTTGTTCATGTGAGAATAACTGTTCCACAGGGATGCCAGAGGACTCAAGCATATTCAAGAATTTCCCCAATATCTTCCATGATTGTTGGGTTCAAATTCTTGGACAAATACATTGTTGCCAGGATGAGAAGGTTACTTGACACAAAGAATGGCTACTTAAAGCTTAAGGAATCTCCTGTGGCTGCTATATTGAGAAAAAGTTATGGGCATGGCAGGCATTCCATAGGTTGTTTAGAAGTGGGCTTACATAAATATTAAGCATCAAGCAGTGATGCTTAATATTTGTTTTCAGGATGCTACTTTGGATGCTTAGGATAAAATTTAAACTCCTTGAGTAAAGGGACCACACTTTCGTATTTCTATTACACTAACTGGGACAAAAGAACTCAATAAATTCTTATGAATGAAGACAGCTCTCTGGTAATTAGTAATAAAACATGTCTACCATTTAGTTTAGGATGGTAAGCTAATATCATTCATTTGTAGGCATCTGTATCAGCAAACAAGAGGAATCTAGCTAGTTTAAATACAAATGGAATTTATTTATTTATTTATTTGAGATGGAGTCTTGCTCTGTCACCCAGGCTGGAGTGCAGTAGCATGATCCCAACTCAGTGCAACCTCTGCCTTCTGGGTTCCAGTGATTCTTCTGTCTCAGCCTCCTGAGTAGCTGGGATTACAGGCATGTGCCACCACACCCGGTTAATTTTTTTATTTTTAGTAGAGAGGGGGTTTTACCATGTTGGCCAGGCTGTCCCCAAACTCCTGACCTCAGGTGATCTGCCCGCCTCAGCATCCCAAAGTGCTGGGGTTAGAGGCATGAGCTACCATGCTCTGCCATTCTTGATATTGTTAATATATGTTTTTACTCTGAAAAAGTTTTTTTTAAAATTAATTAATTTATTTTTGAGACAGAGTCTTACTCTGTCGCCCAGGCTGGAGTGCAATGACATGATCTTGACTCACCGTAACCTCCACCTCCTGGGTTCAAGTGATTCGCCTGCCTCAGCCCCCCGAGTAGCTGGGAGTACAGGCATGCACCACCACATCTGGCTAATTTTTGTATTTTTAGTAGAGACGAGATTTCACCATGTTGGCCAGGCTGGTCTTGAACTCTTGACCTCAGGTGATCCACCTACCTCGGCCTCCCAAAGTGCTGGGATTACAGGCGTGAGCTACCATGCCTAGCCTATTCTGACAGTTTTAAAGCAGTGATGTAATTAAATTACATTAATGGGGAAAACTTCACTTCATTTTGATTTAGAAGAGTTCTCCATTGTCAAAATTATAAATTCTGTAACTTAGCATTATGTATTCCTTTATTCCATTTTTCAGAAAAAAGGAGATCTGCTATGCTCGTAAATACTACCTTTTTCTTTCTGATGATGTGTATCAAAAGTCTATTTAATTTTCCTCCTTTTTTTTGAGACAGAGTCTCACTCTATTGCCCAGGCCGGAGTGTAGTGGCACAATCTTGGTTCACTGCAACCTCCGCCTCCTGGCTTCAACTGATTCTCCTGCCTCAGCCTCCGGAGCAGCTGGGATTATAGGCATGTGCCACCACATTTGGCTAATTTTTGTAGTTTTTGTAGAAATGGGGTTTCACCATGTTGGCCAGGCTGGTCTCAAACTCCTGACCTCAGATGATCTGCTTGCCTTTGCTTCACAAAGTGCTGTGATTATAGGTGTGAGCCACTATGCCTGGTCTAATTTTCCTCTATTAATACTGTATTAGGCTGGGAAGACTCACTGCTCTAGCAATCCTCAAATCTCAATGGTGTAAGAAAATAAAAAGTTTATTTTTTGCCCATGTCACAGTTTGGTGCAGGATGGTAAGAAGGATCTGTTCCCCTTTGCCTCTGGAGACCCCAGCTGCTTCTGTGTAGTTCCTAGAAAAGTCTCAGCAGCTGAGAGGTGAAAAGGTGTGGAGGATTGCATGGAAGTTTTTATGAGCCATGCCTGTGGGGTGTTGAATTTCATGTCCTTTCCTATTTCATCAGCCAGCAACCAGGTATATTTCCACATGAAACTGGAAAGGAGGCAAGGATATGTTGCCCAATAGGATGCTCCGAGCAGGGCATTCAGAAGAATGAACAGGTTTGGAGAAGGCCCGTCTGCTGTGTTCTCAACTTCCTTTAGTATTTTCCTTACAACTTATAACTTTAAATGGAAAAGGCAAAGATAAATACTAGTGCTCTATCAGTTAGGATACAGATGTAGCTGCTGTAACAAAGGCAAAACAAAAAACCATAATGCAATAACTTAAACAAGATACAGTATTTTTCTGGCTTGCATAAAAATCTCAACAAAATGTTCCAGGGTTGACATGGCAGCTCCATAGAGTCACGTACCTAAAGGCTCCTGGTATATTGTTCTGCCTCCCCGATCATGTAACTTCCTTCTTGTCATCTGAGATGACAACTTTACCTCCGCTGTTGTGTCCACATTCTGGGAAACTGGAAAGAGAAGAGAAAGTGGAAGGCATGCCCTTCCCTTTAAAGGCATAACCCAAGAGTTATCTATATCACTTGTGCTTATGTCCCATTGGCCAAAACTTAGTTACCAAATTTTGGTAAGCACCCTTGCTGCAGTGGGAGTTGAGAAATGTAGATCTTTATTTAGGTAAGAAAGAAGAGGGCATGGAGGGCACAGTCTTTACATGCCAGACCTTAGTCATGGCTTCACATCTTGTTGGAAGGGAGGCTGGCTATTGTAGCCTTTCACTGGGTGGCCATGTGCCCAGCTAGATCTCAGGAGCACTCTTACTAAAGTAATGCATGGAGAATGGATAGTATGAGAAGTAGTTTCTACTACAAGTGACTTTCATAAAAATAACTCCTATAAGAAAAACAAACAGAACCTAAAGAAAACTAATCCAGAGGGTAAAACATGGGGAAAAGAGGCTGGGCACGGTGGCTGACGCCTGTAATCCCAGTACTTTGGGAGGCAGAGGTAGGCGGATCACAAGGTTAGGAGTTTGAGACCAGCCTGGCCAATATGGCGAAACCCCGTCTTTACTAAAAATACAAAAATTAGCCGGACAGTGTGGCGGGTGCCTGTAGTTCCAGCTACTTGGGAGGCTGAGGCAGAAGGATTGCTTGAACCTGGGAGGTGGAGGTTGAAGTGAGCTGAGATTGCGCCACTGCCCTCCAGCCTGGGCAATAGAGCAAGACTCCAACTCANAAAAAAAAAAAAAAAAAAAAAAAAAAAAAAAAAAAAAAAAAAAAAAAAAAAAAAAAAAAAAAAAAAAAAAAAAAGCAGGTTTCCCAGGTACAAAATGAGACTGAGGTACATAAGTAGAAAATGATAATCCTTTTCATTTTGTCACAAAAGTCCCTACTTACATTTTAAAATTCCATTAAATATCACCTTTCTGATATTCCCATTTTATTTATCTCTCTTTTGGCATTTACCTAGCATTCTCCAGGACATTCCGAGCTTTGTAACTCTCTCAAGGTGACTCTGCAGACGATGCAAAGTAGTTAAGAGTAGAACCCCTAATACTGATGTGTTTATAGGTGAGATGGTCTGATGTCTTAGATTTGCTTTAAAATGTTCCTGCAAAAATAAAAAGGGGAATAGATGAAACAAGATGGACAAAATGTTGATTCGTTGATGCAGTGTAATGGGTATGTGGTGATGATAGCACTATTTTATCACTTTTGTATATCTTTTAAAATTTCCATAATATAGCAAAACACAGTCCAGTCCCTCAAGACAGCCAGATTTGGGTTCAAACCCTAGTTTGACCTTTTACTCGCTGAGTGACTTTACCGTGCTATAGCTTCAGTTTCTCCAAATGGAAATAATATATACTCCATTAGGATTCTTGTAAAGTCTAAAGTAAGAGGACATCTGAGGCTTTAGCATATGGGCTGGTCCTTAATAGTTGCACTAATTTTTATTTTATTTTTTATTTTTGTGATGGAGTCTTGCTCTGTCGCCCAGGCTGGAGTGTAGCGGAAGGATCTCAGCTCACTGCAACCTCCGCCTCCCGGGTTCAAGCGATTCTCCTGCCTCAGCCTCCTCCCGAATAACTGGGATCACAGATATGCGCCATCATGCCCAGCTACTTTCTGCATGTTTAGTAGAGACGGGGTTTCAGCATTTTGGCCAGGCTGGTCTTGAACTCCTGACCTCAGGTGATCCGCCTGCCTCGGCCTCCCAAAGTGCTGGGATTACGGGCGTGACCCACTGCGCCCAGCCAGTTGCACCTTATTAGTTGTACTAATGAGGGTTTCTGCTTGCAAGCAACAGACACTGACTCTAGTTGTGGCTTATTTCTTTCACATGCAGATATTAAGTGGCAGAGGTAAGACTTGAGCTAAGCTCGGATCTCTGATTTCTAGACTTAGAACTTTTTATGTTATCACAGTGGTTCAAAACCTCAACTGGATTTGTGCTTTGCATTTACACTTTCAAACACACAGCAGTGTAGTCTGGGCATTTGTGTGGAACTTCGAATTCTCAAGACTCCAGGGTGGCCAAGGGGCGGAGGTGACTCACTGACATTAACCGGCCTGGCGGCACGTAGGTTGCTGAGGCGATACTGGACGGTACGGGGTTTGCCGGCTGCAGGCCGCCGGAACTCACGCGTGTCCCTGCCTCTCTCATTCCCGGGGTCGGCTCTGGCTGTTGGCCTCCAGCTCCGCTAGGGGCCGGACGCGCCGCCCGGGTCCTAACGCGTCTCCCTCAGGCGCCGGGTTCCTGACTCCCGGCTCCCGGCTCCCGGCTCCCGGCTCCGGGCTCCGGCTGATCGGGCAGACCACCCACCCTCCCTCCCCGCAAGATAGGGGGGCGGGGCATCGGGTTCCTGGCTCGTGATTGGCTGAAGCCCAGGCGCTCCCCTTCTCCACCTCCTCCAGCGGGGTGAGAGGTCAGCTGAGAGACTGCTGGGTCGACAATGGCGGGGTTCTGGGTCCGGACAGCATTGCTGGAAGCTGCTGGACGGCGTGGGCGGTGGCCGCCGCAGCAGCTGATGCTGAGCGCGGCGCTGTGGACCCTGAAGGTGAGAAGCGGCGGGGCGCTGGCGGGCCCGGGCTTCACCGGGCTTCCTGCCGCGCCGCCTCTGGGTGGCCGGCGCCGGGGGAGCGCTGGCTGGGTCCGGCTGCTCCAGCGCCCCGGTTCCGCCTCAGCTGCACCCCTTGTTCTCCTCCTCCCTCCCGGAGTTGGCGCGCCAGTGGGCTCAGGATGCCTCCCGCTTGCAGCAGCTGTTCTTCGCGGGGATCCCGCGGGGCAGAGAGGCCTAGGGCGGAGGCAGTCGGGTGCCCTCACGCCCTTCAGGGCGGCTGATGGCTTCGGGCTGGGATGTTCCTGCCTTGCCTGAGGTCTGCTTCCAGGGTCTGGCGGCATTGGCTTTGTCTTAAGCTTTCCAGGGTGTGTTTTTAGGTGTCCTCATAGTTTCCGTGTTCCTTTGCCTCTTTCCAGCAGTTTTGAAGGAAGACTCTGAACTGTTGATCAAGTAGAGTTAGGGTTGTGAGTTTATCTTAACTTTTACAGTATTATACCATGTCAGGACTGCTAATAGGTTTTGCGTTTCACTTGAAAGCCTGTTTTAATTGTATGACACCCCAGGCTACTGTGTACCAAATGCATCCCATGATCTTATTTTCCTTTTCTGTGTAGTGGCGAGCCTAGTTTTTGCACTGTTCTAAACACACTGCATGACTGTTGTGTATGCCTATGCCATCATGGTGGCGGCTTGACTTATAGGTTGGGGTGCTTGTGTGTGCTTCTGAACGCTTTCTCCCGTCAACATCAAGTCTCTTGTAATTCTGGGGCACAGACCACCTAACCTACTTTAATAATAAGGCTTGTTGAGGCACTGGAACAAATTCTTTAAAATGAAGGTCCCCTGAAAACCACCTGTCAGCTGGTTCAGTGTGCTTGTTACATTTCCTTGTAAAAAATAATTATTAAAACATTGCCACATAACTTGATTTATAGTCGTTGAAGTTTAGACGTTGAAGACACTTTAGAGAAGACCTGCCCCATCCTACTCTTTAAAGAGGGGGAAACTGAACCCCGAGTGGGCAGTAGGAGAGCTGGAGCTTATCATGGACGTGGAAGTGAGCTGGCACATATGTTTGTTTTGTGTCGAATTCAGCGTGTGCATTTTCACTGTTCTCTGTGTTGCCATAAAGTTTACTGTTCTTTAATCTTTATCTCTGTTCATCTTTGTTGGCCACTTTAGTTGCAGCTGTTAAGACTTACCCATTTACATAGGAGGCAGCTCGGTATGGTGGAAGGTGTGGGCTTTGGAGACAAGCACATGAGGCTTTGTATATTGGACAGGTCTCTTCCTTGGGCCTCAGCTTCTTCCTTGTAGCTATTTTTTCAGCTAATATTTACTGGATATCCCCTGTGTTCCACTTCTGGTGAATAAATATGGTTTCTGCCCTCTTAGGAATTGTACTCTTGTAGGGAGAGACAAATAAGTGTAAAATGCTAGGGAGATGCCCTGGTGCTATAAGAAAATAAAATAGAGGGTCTGATCAAGCCAAGATTTTGAGTTCTGTGCCCTAGATTCTGTTCTGTTGCTTTACTTGAACTAATTTATTCAATCTCATAACAGCCATGTAACTCCCATTTACAGAAACTAAGTGTTCATGTGACTTGCTCAAAGCTATAGTGCCAGTAAGTGGCAAGCTCAGGATTTAGAATTCCAGAACCTGTGCTCTTAATCATACTATACTACCTAAGGTAAGGGAATGTTTTCCTTTGGAATTGAAAATTGAGACAAGTTTTGAAGCATGAAGTGACCTTCTCTAACAGAGGAGATTAATGTGATATGTAAGAGAGCAGTGTGTGCAAAGGTCCTGTGGCCAGAGGGAATGACAAGTTAGAAGAACTGAGAAAAGCCTACAGAGGCTCTGATTCAGAGAGTAGATGGTGCTGGAGAAGTTGGCAGGAGTCAGACCATGCTGGGTCCTACAGATCATATTATGAGGTTTGGTGTTTGTCTTAGATCAGTGGGAAGACATTGATGTAGGAGGTAGGAGGGATGACACTGACATTTTAGATTGGAGAGGCCGAGAGGAAGGCTGTTGCTGTTACTGTACTTACTTTTGTACACTTGTTATACACTTACTGTGTAATACATAAGCTTTGATGTTTCTTACCTGGTTTTTTCCTTTTAATGTGTTGGCAGAGACTGCATCTTGTCTATTTCTGTGCTCTTAGTACAATGTTTGACACAATAGGTGCTGAATGTGTAACAATAGAGTAGCATTATGTTTGTGCCAGTAAAGAATTCCTCCTTGGGGTGGGAGGCATCTCTGAAGTTCACTCTCTAGGGGAACCTGAGCTGCTGCTTAGCTTCTCTCCGTGCCTCTCTTCCATGAACTTGAAATGTGCTCTACTGAGTCTGTTTGAAGCTGAACCTTTTGAAGATTTTAACCCCTCCCATCCCTCCCTCCACCTCTGCAAACCTTTTTGTTGGTTGGAAAGCAGCCAGCTAACTCTAGGGTCTAGTCTAGAGAATTCTGACCATTCTTTTGGCCAGTCAACAGAGTTTGTTTATTTTTAGGGTATATGTAGTTCGCCTTTTAGTCTTACTTGTTTTGTGTATCAGTTTTAAATCACATTGTTTAATGCCTAGTTTTTTCTTCTGCTTAAATGTTTTCAGTGGCTCTAGGATATTGGTTTTATGGTAATTGCTAGAGTTTTTATTGAACTCTTAGATGTTTTGTGTGATTTTTCTTTCTTTCTTTTTGTTTTTTGAGATGGAGTCTTGCTCTGTTTCCAGGCTGCAACCTCCACTGCCTGGGTTCAAGCGATTCCCCTTCCTCAGCCTCCTGAGTAGCTGGGACTACAGGCGCATACCACTATACCTGGCTAATTTTTTTTTTGTATTTTAGTAGAGATGGGGTTTCACCATGTTGGTCAGGATTTTCTTGATCTCCTGACTTTATGATCCACCTGCCTCAGCCTCCCCAAGTGCTGGGAATTACAGGCGTGAGCCACTGCACCTGGCCATGTGATTTTTCATACATTAACTTTTATCCTTGAACAACTAGGTCAAAAATTCCAATTTAACAGTAGAGGAAACAAAGCTTAGTGCAGTTAAGTAATTGCTTAAAAGCACAATTGGCTGAAGTAGAATTTGAACCTTGGATAATATGATTCCAAAGGCTTTCCCCTCCCTCCCTTCCTTCCTTCTCTCTTTCTCTCTCTCTCCCTTTCTTTCTCTCTTTGTCTCTTTTTTTCTTTTCTTCTTTCGACAGGGTCTGGCTCTGTCGACCAGGCTGGAATGCAGTGGCACGATGTTGCCTTACTGCAGCCTCTGCCTCCTGGACTCCCATCCTCCCATCTCAGCTTCCCAAATAGGTGAGACCACAGGCCCATACCACCACACCTGGCTAATTTTTAAAAATTTCTCTGTAGAGATGGGGTTTTGCTATGTTGCCCAGGCTGGTCTCAAACGCCTGAACTGGAGCAATCCACCCTCCTCAGCTTGCTATTCTAATTACAATTTGTCTCCTTTGAATCATGGTCTCATTATATGATGCATTCATGAAATTTGAATGTTTAAACTCTGTGTTCCTTGAAATCCGTTATTTTCTTTTGTACTCAGTAAATATGGAAAATAATGTTTAGGCTTACCTGAATGCTTTAAAATTGCCCAGAGGTTAATCTTTCCAGCATGCTGATACATTTCTGACAAATCATCTGGGAAAAAAAAGTTCTGAGATTATTACAGCAACTAGTTTCTGGTGCAAAAAATGTTATAGACATATATTTATACATATTATTTGGACAGGAAACTGAGCCAGCCAACCATGTGACTATATGGGGGCCTAGCATTGCAGACCAATGCCATGGCGAAAGCTCTGAGGGGAGATTGCATTTGGCATAAATCAGGGATGAAGGTGGCAGCTGTGGTTTGAGTGAACTGAATGATGGGTGATCTTAGGAGATGAGGGAGGAGCAGGTAGGCAGGACAGAGTCATCAGGGGCTTGTCTTTGGAATTTAATAATGAGAGTGCAAATGGAGGCATTTAAGCACATTGAATTTATGTTTGGAAAAGATGATTGTGACTGCTGTGTGGCAAATGTCTTAGTAGGGGCGGGAGTAGGACTGGGGATGGGGTGGGAAGAGTAGAAACAGAGACAGTCTGGAAGCATTGTAGAAGACTAAGCTAGAGATGATGGTAACTTGCGCTAGGGTGGTAGTACTGGAGTTGGTGAGAACTGGTCAGACTTGGGATCTATTTTGGAGCTAGAGCCCCTATCTTGCTGTGGGGTTTGAAGGCAGATGGAGACATACCCTGTTTTGAGCAACTGTCTTGGTGTCATCTTTCCAACAGCACATGCTTACTTTGTGTCTCTGTGAAACATTTTGATAATTCTTGCCATAAACTTTTTCAGTATTACTGTCTGTTATGGTGATCTGTGATCCGTGATCTTCAGTATTCTTACTGTAAGTATTTTGGGTTGCTGTGACCCACGCCCATATAAGATGGAGAAACATAATTGATAAATGTTGTGTGTGTTCTGACTTCTCCAGCCAGTTATTCCCCCATGTCTCTCCCTCTCCTCAGGCCTCTCTATTCTCTGAGACACAATAATATTGAAATTAAGCCAATTAATTACCCTCTAAGCATCCTAGTGAAGGGAAGATTCTAGTTTTTAAATCAAAAACTAGAAATGATTAAGCTTGGTGAGGAAGGCATGTCAAAAGCCAAGATAGGCTGAAAGCTAGGCCTCTGTGCCACATTGTGAATGCAAAGGAAAAGTTCTTGAAGGAAATTAAAAGTATTACTCCAGTGAGCATACAACTGATTTAAAAAAGTGAAACAGCTTTATTGCTGTTACGGAGAAAGCTTAAGTAGTCTGGATTGAAGATCAAACCAGCCACATTTCCTTAAGCCATAGCCTAATCCAGAGCAAGGCCCTCTCTTCAATTCTACAAAGGCTGAGAGAGGTGAGGGTGCTGCAGAAGAAAAGTTGGAAGCAAACAGAGGTTAGTTCATGGATTTAAGAAAAGAAGCCATCTCTGGCTGGGCA